CCGATTGTTTCTGACGACTGGAGACACACACTGGGAGGACTGGGAGGACTGGGGCTGCAGACTGGTTCCTCTGGTTCTGGAGCTGCTGGGTCCAGTTCCTCCATCAGCCTCCAGTTGGGTCATGTGATCGGCAGCGGCGGTTCTGCTGATCTGATTGGCCAATCAGAAGCAGTCTGGAGGTTCTGATTCTGCTTCAGGTTCAGGTTCTGGTTCTCCAGGTTCTGATTCTGCCCCAGTCTTTTCAGTCAGTAAAGTTGGACCTGAAGCTTCCAGAACCGATCCAACAAATAGATCCCAGATCCTGGATCAGAACCACAGACTGACCCAAATGGAGGACCTGGAAGGTTCTGTTCAGGAGAGATGGAGCTCATCAGAACCTCAACAGATTCTGGAGTAAACCCACAGAACTAGACAAGATGAGATGCTGCAGATGCTCCATCAGTCCGCTGGGAGCAGAACCAGAACCAGAACCTGAAGAGCCTCAACAACCCGATAAAGAAGGCTGGTTCTGTTTGGTTCTGACTGTGGAACCTCTGGAGGTGACGATGCATAGAAGGATTCTTCATAAAATCAAAAAACTTCATAAAACCTCTGACCGTCGTCTCCATCAGCGTGTCTTCAGTCAGAGGCTTCTCCAGATTCGCTGTGACACAGACTGCTGCAGGAAGGATCGCAGGCATCTACTGAGAATCTGGATCAATGATTCACAACATTAAATCTCCTTTGGGATCAATGAAGTACGTTTGATTTGAACACCTGCAGGGCCTGAACCCAGAGCTCACCTGTTGACTCTTCATCATCTTCCTCTTCCTCCAGAGAAGAGGAAGAACTGAACTCCTTCAGAACACCTTGAAGGAGTTCTGACTGATCTGGGCTCAGAAACCAGAACCGGACCTGTCAGAGTCTGGGTTTTACCTGCTCTGGTTCTGGTTCTGACTGAACATGGAACCTGCTTTGGTTCTGCCCCCATGTGTTCAGAACCGGTTCGGTCCGCTTCCCAGTGTCAGTAAACTGGTTCTAACTTTCTCACCTCTGATCCGGTCTGCTCTGTAATCCGGTCCAGTCCGGTTCCTGGTTCTGGTCCGGTTCGGCTTTGAGGTTCGCTGCTGGTGTCGGTTCCGGTAAATCCGCCAGTACAGCCCGGAGTCGGGCTGGGTCGGACTGGGAGCTCTGGCAGGAGAAGCTCCGCTCTGACCGGAGGAAAACAGCTGCCGGCAATATTAAACTGCTGCAGCTTCCGGTCTCTTTCACAATAAGAGGCGCTAATCTGCGCACCACTTCCGGTTGAGATAAATCAGATGCAAGACTCACCAGTTATCAGATTTAGTTGAGCAGGGAGCTTATAGCTTCACCGGGTCACAGGACACAGGAAATACAAAGTAAATGGAAAGATATTTAAATTTGACCTTAAATTATTGTTTAATGTTAAAATGAGAATATGATTTTCATTTGTTCATGTCAGTTCATATCAGACTAAAATCTCAGAAAAATGAACAGAAACAGTTTTGATCAGCTAATTATGTGAATATTAATTAGCTATAAATATACAGTTGAAACCAGAAGTTTACATACACCCAGTGAAATAATGCAGGAAAGAATCTGTCAGATTTATTTATTCAGGTCTTCAAAATCAAAAGTTTACATACTTCTCCTCAGCGTTTGGCAGCGTTGCCTGACTCTGGGTTTCCTTCAGCAAGCTTCTCACTTCAGTTTTCTGGAGTTCTGCTCCATTCCTCCTGACAGAACCAGGTCAGGAGTTCTGACGGGTCCAGTAGAACCGGGTCAGGTTTGTCGCTCTGACTCACCTTTTTATTCGTACCGTCTGGAAGCTTTTACTTCCTGCTAATGTCTTTAGATGTTGCTTCAGTATTTCCACATAATGTTCTTTTTTCATGATGCCATCTATTTATGAAGTCCACCAGTTCCTCCTGCAACAAAACAGGCCCACAGCATGATGCTGCCACCACCGTGCTTCACCGTAAGGCTGGTCTCAGCGCCTCTGTTTGTAACCATGGTCATCATGTAATAACAGTTCAGGATGTTTCTTCACAGAAGAAGGACTTTGTCGCTGTGGACATCTGGATACAGAAATCAGGTTTTATGCTTTATTAGACTTTATTAGAGTAATCAATCAACCAATCAGTCAAGTTTATTTATGGCTTCTTTCTGAGCGACGTTTCAGCTCATAGACCAGGTCTTAAACCAGGTTTAAATTAGTTTTTAATTGTTTTAACCTGGTTTGGATGTAGTTCTTTTTTTTTTTTAAGGTTTTGTTGGCTCTAGTGGCCTTTATTTGAAAGTAGTTTCAATAAACTGCTTTAATGAGAGAAGGGAAGACATGCGGCAAATGTCGCGACCACCGCCATGAGGACTAGGGCCTCAATATGTGGGTCGTGCTTTGCCCCTGCGCCACCACAGCACCCTGTTTGGATGTAGTCTGACCTGGTTTGGACCTGGAGCAACCCGTCCATCTCAGTTGGTCCTAGCAGACGGTCATCAGGAGCGCCTCCCAGCTGGTCAGATGCAGATGAGTGTTTCTGAGCTGCCTGGTGCAGAGGAAGTCCTGCAGGACGCGGCGTCCTGTCCTCAGCGGTGAGGAGCTGATGGTGGTGGTGGAGTTTCCTCTTGGCCCAGCAGACAGGAAACAGGAAGTGGCTGAGACAATAAGCGGCATTCCTCAGCGGCTGACGGAGGAAACGATCACATCGAGTTTTCCTCATCAGGGCAGGAAGAGCAGCCAGAGCTGCTCCTCATCTGATCTTGGATTGTCACAGCTCTATAGGTAGAACAGGTTCCCCACAGCGCCACCCTGTGGACATCCTGCCATTCCTACAACTCATGTTGAACCAGATTCTCTGAACAAACATCCCCCGGGTTTAATCTGTTGGTTCTCAGAGAAATTAAACAACCACATTTTCCTCATTATTTAGAGTTAATTGTTTTCTTTTTATAAGACGTTTTTACTCTAAATGTGTTGTTTATGATGAAGAGCGGAGCTAAGACTGCTGCAGTCAGTAAACACAGAAACACATTTACCTACAGGCAACCAAGCGAACAGTCACGTTGGACTTTAGTCATGAATCTGAGCAAACAGAGGCTGCATGATTCTCCAAGGCTCGGTTCTAGAACTCTTTTATTCAACACATTAAGCCTTTGATCATTTCCTGCCGGGTATTAGGTCACTTCCTGTTGGTAAAAGGATGGAGCTTTAGATGTTGTTCATCTTTCTGGACCTAAACGGATTTTATCAGCTCTGAATCATGTGAACTCCTCAGGCCGTCAGAGACGGACTTGTTCAGTCCGTATTTCCGAACCAGAACTCATCGGCTCCGATTTACGACTATGATCAGGAAACACAGAAACCTTTCAAAGTTTATCAGTTCTTAGGTATTCAACTGGTTAAAGTTGACATTTAACATTTAGCTTTTTTCTTAATCTTGGTCTTCTGCTAGTTTTCTTCTTCCATGTGTCCACCAGAGGGCGCTGCAGGCCAGGCAAATCCTGAAGTTCCTGCAGAAACAAGCGGCTGCTGATGAGCTACAGTCACAGATTAACAGCAATAATCTGCATTATTTTTGCCTTTTAGAAGAGAAAAAGCAACTGAGTTCATTTTTCCAAGTCATATTTTCACCTTGTTCATTCATTTATAAATGTCGCAGTTTCAAACTAAATATTAGAAAGTTGAATAGTTAGCAAAATTTAGCTAATATACATATACACTTACAGAGTGGACTATCAAAATAAAAGGTTGGGCTTGAGAAATTTTATATAAGCTAAACATTGATCTTACATTCTTATGAATAAAATAGTGAAATCATGACTGAAAACTGAACTCCTTTCTTACAATGGGCTAAAATGACTCAGATTATGCTGTTAATGTGTAACGTTAAAACAGCGCCCCCTATGTTTGGCTGCAAACAGACCAGGTCCTACAGCAAACCTTCATGACTCCGAGGTCCCAGAAACCAGCAGGATGACATCATCACCTCCAGGTATGGACCAGTGACTCACAGGGACGGAGGTACAGGAACCTTTATTGATCACGAGCACCGATCTGATCATCTTTCTAATTAATAACATTTTAATCTGGTCTAAAAGGTAAAAAAAAAATGTTTCAGTTTAATTCATTAAAGAGGAATTGGTTTCTGTTCAACACATGAAGCATCCTTAAATTTCACAGAAAGTCTGGAAAGATCTACAAAATGATTATTTACTGATTATAATTTATTAGGATTGAATTTAAACTAGAAGATCACTGGAAAAAAAACTACAGTTTGGAAAAAAATCTGATCTAAACGCTCCATTAGAAAACCTGGAAGGAACTCCTGGAAAACCTGGAGTCTAGGGGTACTGAGGTCAAAGGTTGAGAAGCTGAGATAATCAGAGGGTGAACCTGAGAGGACAGACAGCCGGACCATGGCGTAGACCAGGGGTGTCCAAAGTGCGGCCCGGGGCCATTTGTGGCCTGGCTGGTGCAGCAGGTTGGTGCAGATGAAGATGTTTTGTTTTAATCAATTATCATTGAAAATGATCATTTTCTTGCAATGGAAAAGATAAGTACAACAATATTTGTGTTTTTATAAGAAAGTTTTATAATTAGTAGAGCCGCATTTTTCTACAGACTTTCACTGGTGACCACATCCTGTTCCTATAACTGAGAATCAATTTACTATAAAAAATAATTTGTAAACTAGATATTTCTCTTTTACAGCAAAATCCTTTTCATGGTTTGGATCTACAGTGAACAAGCTCCCTTACCTACAAAAATATTGGATGAGTATTTGCTTTATTTTGTATTTTTATTTTCTTGGTCTATTTCAGTGTTTCTCCATCCTGGTCCTCAGGCCCCTGCCTGCATGTTTCAGGTGTTTCCCTTCTGCCACCTGAATCGTATCTCTGGTGATTAACAGGTTTCTGCAGCACTTGATGGTCATGCAATCATTTGAATCAGCTGTTCTGGAATAGAGGCTCATCTAAAACATGCAGAGCAGGGGGGCTGAGGACCAGGATGGAGAAACACTGGTCTATTTAATACTTTTGACCTACATGACAAAAAGTTTGGACACCCCTGGTGTAGACAGGTCAGTGCGTTAAGGCCCGAAGTACGCTTGAGTATGTTGGGGCCTTTAGTGTGTGGACAGTTTGGTCAGCCTAGGGTCAGTCTGTGGACGACCTTTGGTCATTCAGAGGTCACGGTGTGGACAGAAGGTTTCGGGGTGGAGGCAGAGGACAGGGACAGACACTGGAGGACTGGCAGTGGGAAACGTCTCCAGCAGGAGGAGATCAAACAAACCAACAACCAGTGGGTGAGAGGAGGACAGTCCCTCGGGAGCCTGAGGACGGCCTAGGTCTCCTCGTCATCGCTGTGCTGCGCCTTCTCCTCGCTCACGCCGCTCTCATCGATGTTCTCCAGAGAGTCCGCCCGCTGCAGCGTCAGGTCCGCCATGCTGATGGAGGGCAGCGTGTTCTGCTCTGGGTACATCCACGGCTTCAGGGTCGGGTCGTGTTTCCGCTTCCACTCTGGGTACTTCAGAGACGCCTTGTAGATCTTCCTCATGGCCTGGAGGGACAGAGACGGCAGGACAGGGTTGGACAGGGGACAGAGACGCCATCTGTGGGAGGAACCGGACCGACTTTTACCTTCGGAGCCACGAAGTGAGAGACTCTGTTAACGACCCACTTTGGTAAAGAGCCTGCAGGACACAGGAGGGGACAGGACTCACAGTCAGGTCTCTGGGAGGACAGAAGAGAGGATAAAACTGTCTTCCTGCCTCACCTCGGGGGTCCACCTGGGTCAGGTAGTAGAGGGTGGAGCTGGTGGCACTGTTGGATTGGATCAGGTAGCCCGTCAGCAGAGACACGGCTCGGACATAGTCCTTCTTAGGAGGATGTTGCTATGGAGACGAACAGACAGGCATTTTGGATTTTAATGTGGGAAAGCAATGTGACGACTTCCTATGGTTCTTGTAAAACATGATCCGTCTGCCGTGACTAAAGAGTTGCAAACATGCTGCTGAACTCTACAGGGAACAGGAGACGGGTCAGTACTTTCCAGAACCTCTGTCTGCAACTCGACCTCCACCAGCAGCAGACACTGACCGGGTGTTTGACGGAGTAGTTGATGATCATGTAGTCGCTGCCGAGTGGAAGCCAAGACCGCATCGTCACAAAGTCTCGGTTCTTCAGAGGCGTCGGGCATTTCCCTTCAAACAGACACCAGAGGGGGAATAAATGAAGTCATTCTATCCAAGTTGAACTGTTCATGTTCAACATCCAGCCAAAGTTGAATCACTTTCCACAGGAAGTGACCGCAAAAACCAGGAATCTGCTCATAGACGTCTCCTCTGCCCACCAATGAGGGAAAACTTCTACAACATTCAGACCTGATTGGATGTTTTTACTTAATATTTAGACATCAGTGGAGACATTTTGGTTTTCCAGGTTCTAAGCTTTCTCTTTGCTGTCTTGCCAATAGGTTTAGCATGAAAGTAGAGTTGGAGGACTCTAACCTGCATTGGGAACAAGAATTATGTTGATGCTGCTTCTTCTTTAGCCTCAAACCACTGGTACCCTCTACTCCTGCAGGGGGTGCTGCAGGATACCGGTCGTAGGCATTCTGGAGGTCCACAACACACACAAGGAGGGACAACCAAACTCCCAAAACACCTCGGCAGCTTTAAGGAATAAAGACCTATTTCAATGTTCCTTGTCCAGGATGAAGACAGCACCATAAACCGAGCCTCTCAGGGAGGCTGAGAAGTCTGACCTTCAATAGCTGGAGGATGCTCTCCACTCCCCTGTCTTAAAAACTGTGATCACTCCGTAGGTGGCATCCCAATCCTACATCTGCCTATGAAAAGGTATGGCCAAAAGAGAACAAAGAATGTCCAGAGCCTCCAGAACCATCCTCACTCCAAAACTTTACAATATCCTCAATGCAAGTCAGACGTTCCTCTCCAAAGCCTGGAATGGCACCTGATGTTTCCTCTCTGAGTCATTGAGAGCATTTCTACAACTTCCTTGAGCTCTGAGCCAACATGTGATTAGCTCTGAGCTAGGTAGCTACATGTTTACTTTGCAAATTAAATATTGCGTTTGAAACCGTGACACTAATAAATGAATGAATTACATACTGATATATGACTATATGAACCCCATTTCTTCTGACGGGCTAAATAACCCAAATTATTGCTGTTAATTTTTAACAGTGTAACCCCATAAACAGCCAATCAGGACGAGACTTTCTACTATTTTTATGATTTGAATGTCGAGGCTGGTCTGGTTTTAAGTCAGATTCTGGGATAAAGTCTGGAGTGGGTCCAGTGGTACTGACAGGAGTAATATCCCACGTCTGCGTTGACCGTCAGTCTGCCGATGTCGTAGGTGTCGATCATGTTGGTGTCCCACTTCTTCCGGTAGCTGGTGTCATGGAGGACGTCGTACAGCGTCTCTGCCGTCACGTCTTTGCACACGATCCTCATCTGGAACAGAGACAGAGAAGAACCAGTTTCACCAGAACCAGGACATTCAGAGCAGAACTTGGACCTAAAGGTCAGAGGTTGTGGAAGTAGAAGAACCATCATCACCAGCTTCCATTGGATGGCCACCCTCCCATCCACCAGGTGGCTCCTCCACCCGTTCCCAGTATCATGACTCCAGGCTGGGTCACCTGAACTTCTTGTGTTGGGTTCTGTTCTTTAGGAAAGTGAAGTCTAAAGTTCAACTCTCACATGACCTCTGAAGGAGACACTTGATCGCTGCCTTGCTCAGAGGAAGGCCGGCTGATCAGGTGCTGTTAGGTGATCTGGAAGCTCAGGTGGAGCTGAGCAGACGGAGTCATTCATCTTTAATGAAGAAGGAAGAGAAAACTCAACAAACTACAACAACAAACCCAGAGGAATTAGCAAGAACAAGCAGCTAGACAGGAAGTCCTCCAATCTGAGGAACCGACCACAGGATCTCCATGGGCTTCAAACCTCCAGATGTCAACTTTCTAAACTTTGAGCCACTTGGTTCTAACTTCAACCTTGTGATCCAGTTCAACCTTAATGCTGGAGAACCATCAGATCATCAACAAGCTGTTCCCAGGGAACGTCTTGATCCAACTCTTCATCCAAGTTTGACTGTAAATGTGGGCTGGGAGGTGATGCTATCAGATGAGAACAACCCACATCTGAAGACTGAGACATCTCTGAGGATCTAAAGACTCCTAAGGTGTGTGTGATGAAGATCAGGATGATGATGAGCTGCAGGCACCACCCAACCTACATCAGACTGCTAGTGGCTGTTACCTCTGAACAACCTTCCAGGAACTCTGTCCAGGAGTTAAACTGCAGCCTTCAGCCTCTTCTTCCTCACTGGTTACTGGATACCATGGGAGGCGGCCACTACCTGCAGGACGTCATCTTTTCCAGTCTGTAATCTTTCAGGGCCGTCAGGCTCGGCTGGACGGCTGTCATTGGATCCGTGTAATTCAATCAGCAGAACTCAGGAACTGCATCAATCATTCAGGACGTCCTGAGCTTCATCACCCAGCTGCCACGACTCATCAGGAGGCGATGATGCCGGTTCAGGGCATCTATGACAAATTCTATGGGGGTTCAGGGCATCTACACCGGGATTGGAGTATCTACGCACATCTTCGACAGATTCTGGGTGTCTACGCAGGGCTTAAGGCATCTTCGAAGGGTTCAGAATGTGTTGGTCAGGTTTGGGTCACTTTGGCCAGGCGTCCTGGCTGGTTCAAACCCGCAGCTTCTCCTGATAGAACCTTCTGGAAAAATTGCTTCAGACTGCAGACCCTATGGACAATGCAGACACCAATTGTTGAACACCAACCATTTGAGTTACTGAACAATTCAATCTTTAACCAATGAAGGAGATTTGAACGGTTTCTTCTATCAGCTCCTCCTCTTTCCTGATGATCTCAACATCCAGGTCTGGGTTGGAGCCTCTCCAGCTGTTTTTCCAAACACTTCCTCCACTCATTCAAAGTAACAGCTTCCTGTTGTTGCGAATAAAACCACAAATTCTGCAGAGTTTCTGATCGATTCTTCATCTAGAAGAACTGCAAAACTCCACAGTTCTTCTGTGACTGCCAGTCAGGAGGGTCCATCAGAACTTTCTGGACCAACTCGGGTAGATTCAGGGGACAGAGATGATCAGCTGGTCTTCACAGTGACCTCAACCTTCAGATAGCTCCGGCTTCACATGGAGGTCAAACATCTCCTCACTCAGCAGGAGAACCATCAGGTGAGGTCATGACCTCACCTGAGCAGAACCACCTGGAGGCTCACGCAGGTCCAGAGCTGAGCAGGGAGGCCGACCCCCGGAGGAGATGAACCGGAGAAGCTGGAGGTCCAGAGAAGAAGACGATAGATTTCTGCAATGATCCAGATCTGCTCTGACCTTTGACCTCCTGAATGCAGACAGTGCCTACATTACCCACAATGCACCAGCAGCAGGTTCCTGGGCGTGTCCTCCGTACGCTGCTGTAAGGTTTCAGCTGAAGCACAGCAGAACCTCACAACACTGACTGGAACTGGTCCAGATCCTGCCAGAACCAGAACCAGGATGTGTTTTCTTCATAAACAGAACCACCAGTTTCTGGAACAGAACCATGAAAAGGGTCTTGTGGTCCATAAGCTAGTCGGACCAGAACATTGGTCCGACTAGCTGTGAAACTTAAAAAGTACAGAACCAGAACCGGGCCCTGCTGGTTTTTTGATAACAAAGAGTCAAACTGCTGCGGACGTCGTGACCCGCCTGGAAACTGGACCGGGTTTTCCTCCGGATCCGGTTTCAGCTCCCGTTTCAGATGTTTCCATGTGTCATTCGGGTTCTGATGACCTCATTCCTCAGAAGGTCTGGTGGTACCGGGTCAGCAGGTTCTGGAAAAGTTCACATTATAGCTCTGGGTTCCTCAGAAACCCAGAGCTACACACACACACACACACACACACACACACACACACACACACACACACACACACACACTAGGGGTTGCACCAATTAGTCGACTAGTCGACTCGTCGATTCTTTTCTCTGCAATGACTTTTTTCTGGGCCAGTCGACTAGTCGCAATCACATGACTAAACAGATTTTCCCAAGAAAATGAAAGAAGGTGGACTAGGTGAGTTCGCCAGAAAGCTCAAATTGTATAAAATTCTAAATAATTTAATAATTACAAACTGTAAATTACAACATAGGCTACCGCAATAGGGGCGTTGCGCGGGGCGGTGGTTAGCGCGGCGCCCCGCATACAGAGTCTTTAGCCCGCGGTAATCAGGAGTCCGACTCCCGTCCTCCGTTCGCTGGGCCCAGGCCTGTCTCCGCTCTCTCTGCCCCCTCACAGTCAGATTGCTGTCAAATAAACTAGTGCCGAAAAAATCCTTAAAAAAAAAAAGACTACCGGAGTAATGTGTTACAACGCGTCATGATGTCAGGCTTTTTTATCCATCCAACTGATCAGCGTCACCCTGCGTATTGAAGCTTTTAACCTGGCAGCTTTACGCTCTTATAAAGATGTGGTTTGACTACATCTGGAAACCAAGTCCAAGCTTCATCCTGAGGATCTGATAGAGGCGATCTTGGCCGCCGTCTGCATGTCGGTTCAGAGAGCCGCTGCTGAGTCAGCAGAGATCATGCTGCGCATCGGGAGGAGGAGCAGCAGGAGGAGCAGCAGGAGGAGCAGCAGGAGGAGCAGCAGGAGGTTTCGTTGAATTCAACTGTAACCAAACGGGATCCGTTCATAATAAGTTTGGTTTGTGATGTTCCAACAGCACCAGTGGTCAGTGTGATAATTTGACTCGTATACCAGTAACTGTCCAGAGATCATCAGCATCAGCCGGTGTTTGGAAAAAAAAAAAAGTCAGACCCGACTTTGTGCAACGAGCTTTTCTGAGCTGCTCACGNAGACTTTAGACATTTTGATGTTGGACCAACAGAAATAAATGGGCTGAATTTACTTCCTGCCCTCCATCTGCATTGGGTGACGTGCTACGTCATCTGAAAGCCAGCAAAGGAGAGAAAAATGAAATGCTAAATTATTTTAATATCATTATCCTGGAGCTCAGCTGGAATCCTAAACTGGGAACAAACATGGACCTGGTTAGCTCCCAGTTTCCTTGGAAACGGACCAGAACCAGATGGATGGATGGATGACGGGTCGATTCCCATCATCCATCTGTAAGTGTAACTCTTCCTACTTGATTGTTAGTCACCTAGTACGATACAGAATGAAAAACTCTTCACAATGTGGCTTTGACTGTAGGCAAGTGGTCCGACAGGCTGAAAAATAAAAGACACGGTTCGTGTTGTGACTGAAACATGTGAAACAAAGGCGGTCTGAACGGCAGTGGGCTTCTGTCGTGTGCTTGTCATCATTGCATATGCGACAATTTATAACAGGTCTGGCTCGACCCCATGTGCGCTTGTGACGAGCAGATGATACCTGGCCACCAACCTGAACTTTATCAAGGACCTGCCTGAGCATAGACATCATCTCTCCAAGCATGGCTCCTTCTTGTGGGAGACTGAGCTGCTGACTTTGTGGGACTGGAGCAAAAGGTTGGCACTGCACTTGTGAGAACTGGCAGTGCTGCTTTGCAGGTTGCAGGACAGGGAGGTAAGACTGTGGAGAAGGGGAATCTAATGTAGCGGCCAGCTGCTGGTTCTGTACCATCACAGGGGAACATGAATTTGGTGGCGCCTCAGAGGCAGGTTGTACATTGTAAGAGCACAAAACATTATTTGATCTTTGTGCACCACCAGGGACTTGGAATTCAATGTGTGTGTCATAGCAGAACAGTGGGGTTGCAGATGGTTTGTGGATTGGTGTTTTGATCCTGGACCCTCTCTCTCTCTGGTGCTCATCTAGCCTCTCCTGGATGTCTTTTGAGGTCCATTCATGTATTTGCTTGTACTTAAATACTGAAGCCAGTTCTGAATCAGGGCAGTGTTTTACAAACATTTTAGCAATTTCACTGCTCATATCGTGACGTTTTAAACCTTCTTCAGCCATATCTGCAGCTTTGTTGAGCCGAATCCAATAGTCAAAGCGTCCTCTTTCTGAATGGCAGTGTGGAGTAGAAGTCAGGCAGCAGGATGTGTGACTGAAGTATTGCATCAGCATGTTATAAATCACATCTGGGGAGCATGTAGCATTTAAACCAGGGTCACTTTTCAGACCAACCTTAACCCCATCTCTGGCTCTGCCCATTAGCCTCCCCATAATCTCCTCTGTTGTAACCTCTCATCATTTCAACCCACTCAGTAACAGTATA